CCATGAGCCTTCTAATGAAAAACCCTGAAGCAATGAGAAAAGCTCAAGAAGAAGTTCGAAAGGTGATAGGAGATAAAGGTTTTGTGTACGAAGATGATGTTAAACAATTGCCTTACCTTAAAGCTGTGGTTAAAGAGACCATGAGATTGCAACCAACAGCACCACTACTAATCCCAAGAGAAACAACCAAGGAGTGTTACATAGGTGGGTACGAAATACCAGCCAAGACCGTAGTTTACGTGAATGCGTGGGCTATTGGAAGGGACACAGAAGTTTGGGAGAACCCATATGTGTTCATTCCTGATAGGTTCCTGGGCAGTTCTATTGATTTGAAAGGAAATGATTTTGAGCTTATACCATTTGGTGCTGGTCGAAGAATTTGTCCTGGTATTTTTATGGGAATTGCCACCGTGGAGCTCTCACTTTCTAATCTTCTCTACAAATTCGATTGGGAAATGCCTGGGGGAATGAAGAGGGAAGACATAGACGTTGATCGCTTGGTACCAGGTCTTGTCATGCGTATGAGGGACGCTCTCTGCCTCGTGCCTAAGGCCTATGCTGTGATGGGCAAAGATGCGTAAAGGAATTGTGGGCATCATCATGAAATCGTGACTCTATGAATAAAACACGAATCAGCCCATGATCAGTAGTTTTTTTTGTTTTTTAAGGTTTGCATGCTGTGTGTAATAATAAGAATAAACGACGGAGCTTAATATGAAGATTGACCTCGAATAATTTTCACGCAAGCTCCGTTAATTTTTAAGGTTCTTTGTACCCTTTTGTTTTTACATTAGAATTCATTATGGCTGGAATTAATTTTTTTATGCAATTTGAAAAGTTGATGCTCTGAATTTTAAGACCTCTGTCAAATTCTTTTCAATACTGACCCTAATATGTGAGCTTAGAAAGTCAACAAAAAGAGCAAATATATTTATTCATGCATATCAATTTAAAATACTTCATAAGTTATAAAATAGTATATGATACATGAGTTAGATCAATGATCCTGCAGATAGAAGCTATCTAAGAAACCTTGACACTAACATAGATAGGGTTCCAGGTATGAATTAAAGACGTCCCTTGAAAAAAAAAATTCATTTATGCAAGCAATAGATCCAGATGACTTATATTTCCCATTGCCATGGGAGCTGTTGAAACTCCTACTAAAGCTCATGCAATTGCTTTTCACTCTTTTGATGTATTGGAGTCAGAAGTTTTGGATGCCCTTCGCATTGTATTCTCTATGGTTTATTCCATTGGTCCCCTTCAGCAACTGGTGTTGTGTTGCCCCTTCTTTGCTTATCAAGTATTGAACTGTAGATATGGTAGCAATGGATAAGGAGTTGTTATGGAAATTGATAATTTTTACAATATATAATTGTTACAATATGATGTTGTTATGGCACGATATTTTGCTTTGGTGGATGATTAAGAAATAATAAATTATTTTTTGTTGTTTCAAGAAATAAGAGAATCATCTAAAAAGATACAGAACCTGTTAATAGACTTACAATCATGATCAGTATCAGAATATATACATAACTCTAAGAAAAAGGTGGATAAAAGTAAAAGACCTTAAAAAATTGTACCCCGAAGACATAACAAAATACAAAGAACAGCTGCCTAATGAACAGTAGTAGGAGAAGTAACAAACTTGATAACAACATGAACAACATGTGCAATATCTAGATGAATAATGATGAGATATACCAAGCACCCAACAATAGTACGGTATAAAATAAGATCAATCAAATGTAAACCATTAGAAGAAGAGTACCTTGAGTTAACAGTAGCTACAATCTTATTATCAGTAAGTATAGCCCGTTCAAGAATATCTGTAATATATTTCGACTGAGAAAGAAGGTAACCTCTAGATGAGTATGCTACCTCAATACCCAGGAAATATAAAAAATAACTTAAATCCTTCATTTAAAATCATTTAGCCAACTCTATTTTCAAAACTGAAATACCTTTAATGTCATCACCAGTAATAATCATGTCATCAATATATAAAGATAGAATAATAAGACATGCATTAGTGCACTTAATAAAAATAGCAGAATCATAACTACTAGAAACAAAGCTAAGAGATGAGATCACAATAGAGAATTTCTCAAACCAAACACAAGGTGCTTGTTCAAGACCATATAATGTTTTTTTAAGCTAACAAACATATCCAAAGTCAGGTGAAATACCAGACGAGAGTGCCATATAAACTTCTTTTTGAAGATCTTTGTTCAAAAAGGTATTTTTAACATCAAGCTAAGAAATATATCACTGATAAATCAAAGCTGCGATAATGAGAGTATGAATAGTAGTTATTTTTACAACTAGGATAAATGTCTCCTCATATTTTATACCATATTGTTGAGAGTATCCTTTTATAACCAACCTAACCTTGTATCGCTCAATAGACCCATCAAAATTAATCTTGATCTTATACACCCAATGGGAATCAACAACACTCTTACTAAGAGGTAGACAAACCAGATACCAAGTATCTGTCTTATGCAAAGTAGAAAGTTTCTCATTCATAACTTGCTACCAAAGCGGATCAAGAATTGTCTCTTTATAGAAAGAAGGCTCAAAGAGACAATGAATAAAAGCTAAAAAGGAAGTAAATGATGAAGAATAACAAGAATAAGCAAAATCTAGTAGTTTTGTGGACTTACAAATACGGATGGACTGACATGGAGGTGGATTGACAATCTCAGATGAAGCTTGAAGGGTTGTAGATGAGAATGAAGCTTCAAGTGTGTCAGAGAGTAAAGTACCAGTACTTATAGAGTTAGGAGTACAAATTGGTCGAACATGGGGAGAGGTATCATTACCAAAATCCTCAGAAAAGGGATATATACAAATCAGATCAAATTTAGTCAGGCTATGAGTAGTGGATGAAATAGAAAAGAAAGGTATATACTCAAGGAAGACAGCATGATGAGACACATAAAATTTTTGAGTTATTGGATCAAAACAATGATAACCCTTTTTACCTTCATCTAACCCAAAAGGACATAAATAGTGGATCGAAAGGATAGCTTATTGTGTTCTACATAAAGATAAAGAATGAAACAAGTACAATCAAAGACTCTAAATAAGGAATAATCAGAAATATACTCATATCACTTTTCAAAAGGAGATGGACCAGAACTATAAGAAGATGAAATTATATTAATCAAATTTCTCGTAGTAAGAACAGTTTCTCCCCAAAACTCACTAGGAACAAAAGCAGATAACAAAAGAGAACGAGCAATTTCAATAATATGCCTATGTTTTCTTTCAATAATATCATTTTACTCAAGAGTATCCATATATGAAGTTTGGTGGATGGTTCCATCTAAGGTAAGCAATTGACAAAATTTATTAGAGGTGTATCCCCCAGACAAATCACACCTAAAACATTTAATCACAATAAAATGTTAAATTTTGATGAAAGATCGAAAAGTTGCATATATCTTAAAGAATTCAAAACAATGTTTCATTAAATAAACCCAACAATAACGAGTATGATCATCAATAAAAGAGACATAATATCGAGACCTTCCTTTTATGACAATAAGAGAAGGTCCCCGTATATCAGAACAAGTCAAATCAAACAGTGAAGAAGAAATAAAAATACTTTGATTAAAAAGTAAAGCAAAAATTTTTGTCAGTTTACATCCATTACAATTAGAAATGTCACAAGTTTTCAATTTTTCTAAAGCTCTTGTAGATGCAAAAAATCTCAAACAAGAAGATGAAACATAACCTAGACAGTAATGTCATAAATAAAAACTAGAAGATGAAGAACTCAAATAAAAAAAAAAAAACAAATCAACAATGTTAGGTTTTTGGACCTTTACACTTAGGTTACAGGTTAATATTTACCCTTTTTTTCCCTCCTCCCCCACTCAGTTGTCATCTTAAGAGGGTTTTTATAAGGTTTTGCTAGGGTTTTAGGAAGTTTTGAATATGTTTCTAACCTCTTAATCTTGAGGGAAGAGTTCCAAACCCTTGATAAGAGCTCATTAAAAAGCTTTTAAGTGTGAGCACTTGAAAAGTAAATCGGGTTTTTGCATAGTGGTTTCACTATTAGGGATGAAAGAGTTGCTTATTTTTTAGATTTTGACGGAGCAATTATGACGTCATCGTCACCTGATACCATCGAAAATTGGTAAAAAAAATGTGTAACTTTTATTTGAATACTCAATCAATCAAAACTGTTGAAATAAAGCTAACGAACAACATGTCACTCACCTTCTCTTTATTAAATCTAAAGGGCGTGTTGTTCAGGGGTTTTCACTTGCGATTTAAAAAATTTTAATTGAGTCCTTGTTCTTCATATTATTTTCAATTATACTAATAATTACCTCAAAACTTTTAATTTCATGCAATTTCACCTCTATTGAACTCAATTATCAACCCCTAAGTTAACTGTCTTTTTTATTTTAGTTTCTTGATCCTGAATTAGTATCTTTTGACCCTTAATAAATCAATAAAATTTTAATTTTTTCAATTTGACTCCTGATTTCGTCAATGTTAGTCTTTATATTCACTTGCCTTTTACAGTTTCATCTTTGGTTCATGATTTTTTCAATCAAGTCTTTATTGCCCATCAAACTTCAATAGTTATGCATTTAAGCCCCTGATTTGACCAAATTAACTTTAAAAATTATATTTTGACCCCTAAACTTTAATTTCTTCTAATTGAAGTCTAAATTGACTTCAAAAATTATTTTTTTCTTGCAATTAAGCCTTTTATAAATTCAAATAAATCTTAAAAAAATCCAATTAAGTCCTTAAACATCCAATTTTGAATTTTCCTTCTCAAATTGAATTTTATTTGCTAATAAGGCCTTCATTAGTCAAAAATATACTATTAAGTTTTTTAATCTTGTATATTTTGATCTTCCTTAACCAATCTTCATCAACTTCTTGGATGTTCTGGTATATTCTTCTCACTTATATATTTTTCTATTTTCTTCCAATTTTTTTCTTTTTTTTTTGAATTTTCTCTTTTCTTTCTTCTTTTTGATTTTTTTTTGTTTATATGGAGCCTTTAAATGGGTAACAACAAATGTTTTGACAGTGTTATTATCATATTTAGAAAGATTTTTTAGAATTTTCTCAATGTAATGAGATAGGGACACTACTAATTCATTAGATGTCTTAAAAAATTTTATTTCTGGTATAACATCTGAAACATCCAAGTCTTTCATGTCAAACTTTTTAGTTAATATTTTATTAGTAAACTTGATCATGTGATCATTACTATCTAAAATTAGCATATCATCCATATAAAAAAAAAATATAATGACATAACTTTTATTTGTGTTTTTCACATGAATAAATTTATCAACTTCGTTAATTTTAAACTCGTTTGACAACATAACATTGTCAAACTTTTCATGTAATTATTCAAGTGTTTGTTTCAAACCATAAAATAATTTAAGTTTATATATTTTCTTTTCTTGTTCATTGACAATAAACTCTTGAAGTTATTCCATATAAATCTCATCCTTAAGATCACCATTTAAAAAAGTTGTTTTTACATATATTTGATATATTTCAAGTTTGTTAATAGTTGTAATGGCTATTAATT